CCTCTGACGACTCCCTGTCGGCTAAAAGGAAATTTGAAAGACTGCTATGCAGGACACATTTTCTTTTTCTTCATTTTCATTTTCCCTGTACAATTTTTTATAAGTATGTAAAGATATAAAAAACACAAAGGTTTTTACAAGTAAACTGTTTTTTTTTGTCCCATTCTTAATATATACATATACTTTGTTCTCGCAAAATGGAGGCTAAGAACGGCTGAATATATACCTACTTGGAAATAAAATGATGCTGTTTGGTTTCCCGTTAAAACATTACGTAGGAGTGACGCGTGTCCGTTCAAATTGTGACAAAACCACCTCACAAAGTCAAAGCAAAAGAGAAAAAAGTGTAATTTTCATAGCCAACTTACAATCTCTCCATTTTAGACAGCTACAAGGGCCATTGGGTCATTGTTTGATGGTGTAATTATCCTTCCACTGAGCACTGGAATTCATGGGTCATTTCCTTTATTTTTGACATTAGAACAGCTTTGAAATCTCTAGATTTAAGGTGGGTTGAAAAATCCTCATCCCTTACCCTTTCAGAAGACGACAGTACCAATGTTATCGAGAGACAGGGTAGCGAACCTCTCCAGTCGAATTTAAGTGAAGGGTGGGCACTTCATAAGCCAAAAGGTGGCACTGTTCGCTTCTAAGAGCAAGTAAGGCAGTATATCACCTCCAAGTTTGAAATTAGTGAGCAATCTGGAAGGAAAGAGGATCTGCGACAAGTCTCGCAAGATATGAGGAAAGCGAAGGGGGAAAACAGGGAGGGCCTGTTTTCCCGGGAAGAGTGGCTGACCAAAGCCCAAATACAAGGATTTTTCTTCCCTTTGTCCTCCTCGAGATGGAGACGGGTAGGTTCGTCTCCGAGCACCGCGGTTGACGATAAATCCGACGAGGAATTAATTGACGAGGAAGAAGTGAATCACATGACCACCGTCGAATCAGTTGTAACAGAAATTGGCTTAACGCACCCGATTGTCTATGACATTAATGACTTGTGTGACTACGTCAAGGAGGGAAAATTGAACTATTTTACTGTTTCCATGCTTAAGGAAATCTGTACTTTCTTCGAGCTCCCACTTAAATGGGAGTCGTGCAGAGGCATAGGGCGAAGGCAACCCCAAAAATTAGGAGCAGGAGGAGGAGCTTATTTAGCCGGCCTTTTGCATGTATTTGTATATACAATGTGATAAGCGTGGTACACCAAAAAATCAGTTTACTTATAAAACTCTTTGTCGTTGTCGCATGAAAAAAAAGTACAGGAAAATTGCAAATGAAAAGAATGAGGTTTAGTGATAAAAGGTCACATCGAATCAAGAAATGAGCTGAAACTAACATAGTTCACTTGACAATTGTATGTCAGGCTTATAAGTGGAAAACGCTAAAAATTGTACATTACTAGTTTTATTAACACCTTACGTAAATGACATTAGTTACTGTTAGGGAAAATCATATTTTAGAGTCAGCTTTGTATAAAGCAATGATTTTGCATCCATTCTTGGGAACAGCAAAATGATTTAGAACAAACCTTCTAAGTATAGTGTTCATTCCGTGCAATAACGCATAAATAAAAGGTTCTGGAAGAAAAGACAACTTATTTTATACCACTGAGGACAAGCAAAAAGGTCATATGGGTACCTCGGTTAAAAATATTTAAATAACTCTATTATTTAATACCAGTTTTAATTTAAAGGAAAAAGTTATGAGAATAAAATAAAAGTTGTCTGTACCACGAAGCATACCTTCACTGTTTAGACTGAGAGTCCGAAAGCTTTTTTAGCGTGTATTCGAATATCCCATCACGATAAGTCCGCCACCCACACCACCCCGCGGCGTACTGTTTTCACTCAGCGGCTGGTCAGCGGTCACCTTTATGAGGTAAACATGGCGATCACCTCCGGATCACCGTTCTTGTCGATCAGAAAATCAAAATACCAGCGTGATATGGCCTCGAAGATGACGCAGTTATGTTGTTTGATTCGTACTTCACATTCGAGTCGAAGCTTGGGTGGCACAGGTTATTTCTTACGGTGGAATCGACAAGGAAAATTCGAACACTAGTGATCACTAGTTGTAGTGTTTGAATTGTTGGAAGAAATGGTCGCATGGGCATGTAGGAATGGTAGGTTTAACGAACAATTTCAAATTTTGCCCCTTGAATTGAACGTGAAGTTCATTTAAATGCTTTCGTACGTATTTCTGACTGTTTTAGATCTACCTGCTCGATTTATATCTGCTACGCTTCATGTTGACAAGTACCTCAAAATGGCGGCAAAACTTGGAGATTGCCGAAAATTAGGTAAGTTCACGGAGTTATAAAGTTTTAGTAAAGGTCGGGCCGCAAAGTTTTTTTCTGTAGTTACCTTTTCTATGGCACCTACTTCCTAGCTATATTAGTTGGATCAGTTAAGAACGCCTCACTTTTTCAAAAATGTACCTTAAATTTGATCGGTTTTCGCGTGTGTGACTTAAGCGAACCGATAAGGTGTCGTTCAAGTCTTCCTGTTTGCTTGATTGAAACGTAATGTTCACGAAAGTCGCCTCGATGGATAAGATAGAGTTAATATACATGGCTGTGGTATTTGTTTTTTGCTGAGTCCCGTAGTTTGTTGTAAATTGTCCGGCAAAGTTGCCTCAAATTAACGTCTTGAAAAGTGTCACGACAGGCCTTCGGTCGAGTGAAATTTAATTTCCGTAAAACTCTGAAAAATAAAGAGATCCGATCAAACGGATTGTGGTTTTAGTATAGGTACATGAATGTCTTACAACACACGAGAAATGAGCTAAATCTGTGTCTCAAGGAAAATCGACCGGACCGCTCTTACAGAGACACTCTCTTAATGTTCATTCAAACACTCGCCACTGCTAGCACTGTAAAAGTCAGAACCGGCTGGCCGTATAGATGATTTTGAAAATTTTTTCAACGGTTTAGGGCTAAAGCCCACGCGTGCTTCGATCGTCCTGAATAGCAATTTGTATCGCAATATTGTGAAATACTGCATTCTGTTGTCCGAGGTCTGTATGATAAAAACAGTGCCTCATAGTACTGTTTCACCTCAGATGTGATGTATAAATGATATAAAGGGTTGGTTTACACGCACCCAGATTTGTTGGCAAGATTTTGTAAAATAAACTTGTCGAACGCAAAAAATTCGGCCGGAATTTTTTTTTCCAGGCCTAATTAATCTACGGTGATCAAGAGCCATTATGGCTCTTAATAAATGTGATCGAAGATGATTGCCAGTTTTTGGGTGTACTTATAAGGCTATCAACTCGATGTGAGATTTGGTTCACTCTTGGGCTGTTTGCAAATTATTCTTTGTAAAATCACTTAGCCTTTCCCTGAAAAGTCACACGAATGTGCTCTAAAGTTAACTGAATTGTGGAATACAAGTTTATTGTTTGATTTAAATTCAAAATGTTGAGTTTGATCGTCCGGGTGAACGTAGTGCTGAATAGGACTGTTGTTGTTGACCGTGACTGACGTTTCGACAACCTGTGCGGTAGTCATCTTCAGAGTCAAAGTGAGTTGTGTCACGTCAGTTGATGGTATTATACTCTGGTTATTGATCTGATTGGTCAATTATGTCGCGATGTTATTGGTCGTCTGTCAGTTAAGCCGTGATGTTATTGGCCATGAGGACTCGTAATCAGTGATTGGTGCGTTTCGATCCGTCTATTGTCACAGTTGAACAGTCGTCTATTGTTAGTCAAATTGTCAGTTCTCCAGTTGTTCTCTCGTAGTTAGTTTTCCTTGATCTCGTCAATAAGTCGTTTGTACGGCGCTGGTAACTGTTGGCTACGATTCAGTGGCGTTTGTTCTAAGTTAGTAAACCAGCTTTCTAAAGTAAGACGTTGATAGTAGTCTGTAGAATACGTTATACATGTCGCAGAGTCCCAGTCAATTTGATGTTTCGTCTTTAAATAGTGCTCAGCAATGTGATTGTTGACGTCACCATTCCTCGTCGCGCGTTTGTTTTCTGTCAGTCACGTGCTTAGGTTTCTGCCGGTTTCACCATGCAATGTAAGAAGCCTGGCAGTCGCAGCATTTGTTCTTGTATACTGCTCCCTGTCTGTCCTCCGGTTTGTCTTTGTCCTTGACATTAGTAAGCAGTCGCCGTAAAGTGGTTATTGGTTTGTGTGCAACACGTACATTGTAAGGTTGTAATAGACGTGCAATAGTTTCATAGGTGCCTCTGATGTACTCTGAAACTATTGCACGTATATTACAACCTTACAATATACGTGTTGCACACAAACCGATAACCACTTTACGGCGACTGCTTACTAATAGGGACTTTAAGATCCAGGACGCGACGGCTATAAGACGCCACCGGACGTAAAATATCCAGGCGGGGTACATAGTACGCATGCCCAAGGCGTCCTATCAGTGGCGCCAAGTCGCGTCGAGAACGTCATTTGGGAAACTTTGGCGTTTTGTACAGAACGTGAGTATAAAGACCTTTTTTTGTCCATGAAAGTAATACTTTGTCTCCCTTAAACCTCTTGGTCCTAGGTTGCAGTCAATTTGGAATGCAAAGATGCGACAGATAAGGCATTTTTCATCGTATATTCACAGGTAAACAGCTAGTTGAAGACTTGAAGTCCTGAATCGAAGCATGGCATCCAAGCCTAAACCTCCCAGGTAAATGTGAGCTTTAATCATGGCTATTTGAGTCGGTTGAACAAATCCTCGTATTTTCAACATGTGTTGGTTTGGGAAAGGATATAGGAATATTTCGCGGACACTAAGCGTGATTTCATTCAGTCGAAGCATTAAATGTAAGCTTAAGCTTATACTCCTGTTATTTTATTTTTAGCTCGGTGATGTTTTGGTCAAACGAGCATGACGTGTTCTTGTAGCGAGAAGTGGTAAATTTAAACCCTTTTACGTTCAAAAAAGGATCCACTCAAAGAAGCGGGATGTGGGAGAAAATAGCTCAAACGAATGTACCGTACTGAGATTCAGCGTTGATAAGAGATCGGTTCGCGACCACATGGGGATTCTCGTCAACAAGCATAAAAGAAAAGTCAGAGCCGAGGAGAAGGCATCCGGTATAGCGCCCGACGAGCCAAGCGAAATGGAAAATCTTTTGGACACTATCATCGCTTTAGAAGAAAGTTCAGAGGCAGAATCACAGGAATTAAGAGCAGAGAGAAATGAAAAATGTGAAAACGACCGAGCAAAGGCAGAAGATGCGAGATTAAAGGCCATGGAAAAGCTTTCGGAGACTAGGAAAAGATCAAGTGAGAGCGAAGAGGAAAAACCCAAACGACAGCGTAGAAGTGGAAGTGAAGCTATGGAATTTTTAGCAGATAGGGCTAAGATGAATTATGAACTGAAACAACAAGGGTTTAAAATGTTGCAAGAACAGCAAGCGTTGGAAAGAGAAAAAATGGAAGCAATGGCCAAAGAGCAGCTACAAACACAACAGCAACAAACAGAAATGTTTAAAGTAATGCAACAGCAACAACAACAAAACCAACAACAGCTGATTAACAGTCAAATGATGATGATACAACAACAACAAGAACGGTCAAGGGCAGTGATGGCTCTATTAGAGAAATTAGCCAATAAGTGATCTATGGATTTGTGTCACAGTCAGGTTTTGCAGCATATTTTGCTGCACATTTTGGAGTGGCTTGTGGATGAAAATATTTTAAAAAATACACTGCTTGATTTGTAGGCCCACAAGATACAGATGACATCAAACCACCTGTTGCATTTGTATTGTTTGTTTTTTTTTTGCTGGAAAAGTTGAAACTCTGTTGTCACCAGCAGCAAGGAAAGTTTATTGATGTTGTATATGTACACAATTGTTGCCAGTTTTTTAAGTGACAAAGAATGTTTTGTTTTATTACTTGAGGGATTTTCCTTCTACCTCTGTTCTCTGTACAAATAAGAGGCCCTCGTTTCAGGCCTTCAGTTGTGTTTTTACATGTCAAACCAATCCACAAAAGTTAATTAAATATTAATTTAAAGGTACTGATTTGTGTGCACAAAATTATATGAACAAAAACTATATTTGTTGCTTGGATATCTTAGTTAAAGCATATCTATCCCTATCACTGATTATTCTTGGTGAAGAAAACTTACAGGAAACTTTACTAACGCTAGCTAAGTAGAAAACAACATGTTCCAGTCCAAGAGTCTGGAACTCACTGGGAGGAAGGTTAATCAGGTAAGGAAATTTTTACAAACAACTCTTTTAAAGAGGCATTTCTGTCACAGGAATTATCTATAAAAAACTTATTCTCATGAAAAGTCCACTGTGACAAAGTCGTGTTAATTAAAATAGTCATTTAATGAAGGTGGATCTAGTCCAAAAAAATCAGCTGTTGTGTTTGAATAGAGACAAGTTAAAGCATTTCTTAAAATAGAACATACTATGTACATTTTTCCTACTTGACTGAGTCCAATCTTCAAATTTTTTTTAAAGTCTAAAAATTTGAAGTAGTTTACAATGGGCGCTTTCCATTTAGGAAAAAAACCCGGAAATTTCGGTGGTAGCAAAAGTGGAATTTCCGATTGGTAAAAAGTTGTTCCATTTGGTCGTAAACCCCGGTACGTGGCGGTGCCCGACCGTGGACCTGGAACTGGTACAAACTACGAGAAACGTAAATGAAACACGAGATTCCGTTCGGAAATTCCAACCGGGAAAACGGGACCACCTTTTTAGATTTTCCACTTTTTCTGGGAATTTTCCAGTGGGACGAACCGACGAAACGTGTTCCATTTACCGCCGAACCGGAAATTCCGGAAATTTTGAGTAAATGGAAAGCGCCCAATATCTCCGAATAACCATTCAACTGATGAGCGAACAGCACTCATGGACTCATTAAACATCTCCATATCTCTTGTTAGAATGCCAACTCTGAAAGGTGCCTGCAAGTGAACCCTGAGTGGGTATGCTGGATCCCCATATAAACACATTGCTCTACCTACAGGGTCAAATGCAAAGTTTTGTAAATCATCATACAGTTGGGAGACTGCCAGCATTCTTGCATCGTGCATTCTGCCTTCTACAAGAAGGAAAGAAAACAAAGGTTCCACTCTTAAAACAAATTAAGGATGTATATGTCATCATTAATGTTCGCTAAAATCAAGTCATGCAGCCTTTACATTTAACTAGCACGTAGGGTATATGGCGTGGAAACAAGAAATTGAATAGGCTATTATCAATTACTAAAAGAATTTCAACAAAAAATACGGCAATATTAAGAGGCAAGTACAATGAAACAAAAATTCCATAAACATGGCAATGAAGGGAAAAAAGGTTGCTTTGTGAATAGAAAAAAAATCTGGGGCTTACCTACAGGACCATAGATATTAGCAATCAGTCCATTGGGAAGCGTGACGGCCTGGAACTTGAGCGCATGTACGCGCTTGTGGCCATTATAAACAACTCGCTGGTTTGACATCGGCCGACTAATGGGCCGCACAGTTCCGTCTATAAAGCCGAAACAGTTATCAAGGGCTGCTCCTTTAGAGTGGACCCCATCTGCATACGTAGCCATTAAAGGTGGGTTTAAAACACCAGGGTTCCACCGTGTAACCTTGTGCCCGTGAGTATTATATATCCAGTCTGTCACCTGGTTGCAGATCATACTCATTTCTGGCACCGATCGCCCAAAGATTGGCATCATGTCGGAATAGCGGCATGGATATGCGAACCGCTTTAGGACAATACAGAGGCCTTCGGTTCCATCGCAGATAGTTCCGTTAGAGCACTTGAAGATGGGCGGAAGTTTTAAGACTTCAACAAGTAATGCGATATCCCTTTTATCGACGCGAAAATCAGCCTTGCATTCGGCAGAATTTTTGTTTTCGAGAGAAAATTTCTCGTATGCCGAGTGCTGAAATGGAAGATTTTGTGGAGCATACGCCTCGCAAAGCACTGAAAATTCTTCGTCGTCTATAATTTCTTCCTCCAAGCAAGGTAGCAGTAATTCTTGAAGTTTTTGGAAGGAAGCCATTTCTTGTTTCTTCGTTAAAACCTTCGTACGGATTTACATTAATGACCCCATCGCGTCGCAAATCTTAACTTAAATTTTCCCGCGCTTACAACGCCGTCCTCGTTCCAGGCTTTTGCCCGGTCACCGCGTCCTAAAAGCCGTCGCTTCCTGGATCTTAAAGTCCCTAATGTCAAGGACAAAGACAAACCGGAGGACAGACAGGGAGCAGTATACAAGATCAAATGCTGCGACTGCCAGGCTTCTTACATTGCATGGTGAAACCGGCAGAAACCTAAGCACGCGACTGACCGAACACAAACGCGCGACGAGGAATGGTGACGTCAACAATCACATTGCTGAGCACCATTTAAAGACGAAACATCAAATTGACTGGGACTCTGCGACAAGTATAACGTATTCTACAGACTACTATCAACGACTTACTTTAGAAAGCTGGTTTACTAACTTAGAACAAACGCCACTGAATCGTAGCCAACAGTTACCAGCGCCGTACAAACGACTTATTGACGAGATCAAGGAAAACTAACTACGAGAGAACAACTGGAGAACCGACAATTTGACTAACAATAGACGACTGTTCAACTGTGACAATAGACGGATCGAAACGCACCAGTCACTGATTACGAGTCTTCATAGCCAATAACATCACGGCTTAACTGACAGACGACCAATAACATCGCGACATAATTGACCAATCAGATCAATAACCAGAGTATAATACCATCAACTGACGTGACACAACTCACTTTGACTCTGAAGATGACTACCGCACAGGTTGTCGAAACGTCAGTCACGGTCAACAACAACAGTCCTATTCAGCACTACGTTCACCCGGACGATCAAACTCAACCTTTTGAAATGACTCCTGGGTTCAAACCTTTCACAGTTGATTTAAATTATAAATTTATTAATAGAAGCCTCGCTTTTAGCCCTGGCTAAATCTATATATTAATCATTTAAAAGATTTTATACTCGACGATATTCAAACAATCAATTTCTTACCGTCTTGTCTTTATTATATGATTCTGTCCAGATCGAGATCACCGAAAAGGCGTCATTAAGGTTTTGACTGCGCGTACTCTCTTAATTTTCTTTTGGACCGCGGTAGAATGCGAGCACGCGCGAGCGGCGAGCGGCAAAGCCGCGAGAAACGAGGGATGACTGATATATTTTTGGCCATACTATTGGTGTTCTTGTGTTAGTATTTCTTTTATCTTCAGTATTATTCCATAATCATCAGAATCTGATGGTGTCACTGGCCCGGTTTTTTTCCCTTAAACACTGTACTTTATTACCGACAACACTGGAGATGGGTAAAAAAACAACTGAACATATTTTTACAGAAAATGTCCTGCGGAAAACGCTGGAAATGGCATTTTCGAGACGCTATATTAAAAATTGTTAAAAAAATTTTCTGGGCGAAATTAATTAATGACCCAGCTTCAAGATTACAATGAAACCTGGACCTGCCAATAGACAGGTCCTAAAATCCGACCGAATGAGTAACCTGGTAGGTGGTGCTATCCTGCCCGACTTGTGAACCAAGTCGATTACGTACGATTACGATTATGAAAAGTGTTCGTTTCAGCTATAGTTTGTTTGTTATTTTTTTTTAGTACTTAAGGTTATTAGGCTGCTGTTGTTTGGTCCTTCACGGACACCTTCTAGTAACTGCATGGACGGCCTCTTGATCGAAAAGGATAACGTTATTTTGACCACATTTATAGAAAAAATAGGATGGTACTTGCTAAAGCTAAGGTTGAATGTGTACTTAAATGTAAACTTTTGATAAACAATGTATAGAATTGCATTGTAGAAAATTTGGCAAAGGAAAACTGATACAAAAACTAAAAAAATGAATAATGAATATCACGAAAAACATTGAAATGAATAATGAATAATTTGGAGAAAAAAGCAAAGAATAACGAACAATCGTGATCCAATTATTCAGCTTCCACCCCCGAGCCATACGTAGTCATACATAGCCATACATAGCCATACACAGCCATACATAGCCATACATAGCCATACATAGCCCTACATAGCCATACATATAGCCATACATAGCCGTACACAGCCATACATAGTCCTACATAGCCCTACATAGCTCTACATAGCCCTACACAGCCATACATAGCCATACATGGCCCTACATAGCCATACACAGCCGTACATAGCCCTACATAGCCATAAATAGCCCTACATAGCCATACACAGCCCTACATAGCCCTACATAGCCATACACAGCCAAACATAGCCCTACACTTCTATACACAGCCCTACATAGCCATACATAGCCATACACAGTCATACATAGCCCTACATAGTCATACATAGCCATACTCAGCTCTACATAGCCATACATAACCCTACATAACATAGCCATACATAGCCATACATAGCCCTACATAGTCATAAATGGCCCTACATAGCCATACACAACCATACCTAGCCCTACATAGCCCTACATAGCCATACACAGCCATACACAGCCATACATAGCCCTAGTACATAGCCATACATAGCCCTATATAGCCCTTCATAGCCCTACATAGCCATACACAGCCATACATAGCCCTACATAGCCATACATAGCCCTACACAGCCCTACATAGTCATACATGGCCCTACATAGCCATACACAGCCATACCTAGCCCTACATAGCCATACATAGCCATACACAGCCATACATAGATAGCCCTAGTACATAGCCATACATAGCCCTATATAGCCCTACATAGCCCTACATAGCCATACACAGCCATACATAGCCCTACATAGCCATACATAGTCATACATAGCCCTACACAGCCATACATAGCCATAAAAGCGGTATGGGAGTAAATAGTGCGTGGAATGCATGGAAAGATATATTTTTGAATACAGTTGATAAGAACGCTCCGACAAGAGTCATGCGAGTCAGAAATAGACCCGCTCGTTGGTTAAATTCTCAGTTAAAAGAGGAAATGTATGAACGTGACTGGCTAAAGAAAAAAGCTTCAGAAACGCAGCGGCCAGATGTTTGGAAGGCATATAAAACTAAAAATTTAACGGTTAACTTAAAGGAAAAAAGACAAAGAAGGATTATTACAAAGATCAAATAGAAGGAGCTTCTGGTAACCTGAAAGCAACTTGGAAAATTCTTACCGACCTAATGGGTAAGAAATCGGACAGCACACAGATTAATGGTTTAAAGACAGAAAATTCTGGGCCTTTATCTGATCCCGAGAAAATCGCTGAATACTTGAATATTCACTTTACAAACGTTGGGCCGAAACGTGCATCTGAAATCCTTACGGTGGATTGTGATGTAAATCCAGCGGATTCCCAACAGCGCGTTAATTCTTCTTTTGAACTGAAGGAAGTCACGATCTCTGACGTGTTTAAAAAACTGCAGGAAGTAAACGTTGCAAAGGCGACTGGGTCATGATAACATCCCATACAAGATTTTAAAAATAGCGGCTCCAGTTATTTCTTTATCGTTAGCTGACCTTTTCAACCTCTCGATTACTATAAATACTTTTCCAGATGAATGGAAAGTTGCAAACGTCTTTCCGCTATTTAAATCAGGTGAACGAAATGATCCAAATAACTTTAGACCGATTTCTGTCTTACCAACTATAGCCAGAGTTTTTGAACGATTAGTTTGTGAGCAGATGTATGCCTATTTTGCGGAAAACAACCTTATTCAGCCTCGTCAGTCTGGGTTTAGATCTCTCCATGCAACTGTAACTGCGCTTCTAGATATGACAAATCAGTGGTGTCTTAATATTGATAAAGGTATGGTCAGTGGTGATATTTTTCTTGATGTTAAGAAGGCATTTGACACTGTTGACCATGCTATCTTGTTGAAAAAACTGTCTGACTATGGGGTGCAGGGTCAAACCGCTTCTTGGTTCAAGTCTTACCTAAAAGACAGACAGCAATTTTGCGTGGCAAACGGATTGTCTCTGTAAAAAATCGTATCGTATTTGGCGTTCCTTAGGGTTCTTTATTAGGCCCATTCTTGTTTCTTATTTACATTAATGACTTACCAAATTGGTTAGATCATAGTATGGGAAGGTCATTTGCAGATGATACAAATTTAGCGTTCTCTGCCGTTGATTTATCAATCCTTCAGACAGAAATGAGCAACGACCTTAACAGAATTTGTAATTGGCTCAGCTCAAATAAACTCACATTGAATATTCTAAAAACAGATTTTATGGTGATAGGTTCGCGGCAGAGAATTGCAACATTAGCTGCATGGAAATCTTTCATTAAGTGTGAATGGTTTAACGTTACAACAGGTCGAAAGTACAAAGTGTCTTGGTCTCACTATCGACCAATTTCTTACTTGGAGAAATCATTTACAAAGTGTCAGACAAAAGGTGGGGTGTGGCATTAGAATTCTTAAGATGATTAGGCCTTTTGTTGGCTTGGACCACCTCATAAACGTATACAGGTCAATAGTTGAGCCTTATTTTATCTATTGTTGTACTGTTTGGGATAGTATTGGCGAAACGTTGGTAGACAGTCTTCAAAAGTTGCAAAATAGGGCCGCTCGTTGTTATTACAGGTGCTGCATACTTGAAACATTCAGCTGATATTCGGCATGAACTTGGGTGGCTCTCATTTAGTGAAATGAGACAACATGATATGGCATTAATGATGTTTAAAGTAAATCATGGCCTCTGTCTCTCTTATTTGTCTGACATGTTTGACGTTAATACAAGCCGGCTCAGTGATGACCTTCGCTCTTCTGGAATGAATTTGATAGTGCCAAAAGCAAGAACAAACTATTTTAGGAATAGTTTTGCTTCTGCAGGTGCTAAGCTCTGGAATTCTCTTCCTTCCAGTTTAAAGGAAAAGACTTCTTTAAAACAATTTAAGGCTAAGATCAGGTCGTATTTGCTATCTACACAAGCCTCATAATTTAAGTTTTAGGTTTAACATTGTGTACGATCTTTCTTAGATTAGTTTTTAGATATATATCTATATCTTTATGTAAGTTACTTAACGCACGGCTTTTAGGTAGAACAGATGCTTTATGTAAAGTTATTTGATAAAATTACCGTGAGTAAATAAAGTTTCACTCACTCACATAGCCCTGCATAGCCATACACAGCCATACATAGTCATACACACCCCTACATAGCCCTACATAGCTATACACAGCCCTACATAGCCATACACAACCCTGCTTAGCCCACATAGCCATTTATAAAATAACTAAGATAGTATCCGCGCTCTGATTGGGCGAGAGGAGTGTTTGCATCAGAGTAAGTAAACATCGCTGTGGCGTCAAGATGTTTCGCTTTTCGCGCGGTTATCATGCAAGCACGAATTTGAAAAAGCTTTGGAGTTCAAAACTCGACAAATTTACTTTATTTACCCATTTCGTAGTCGGCTGAAACTTCAAGGGAAAATCCTTACAAAGAAGGTGTGTCAATTTCTCGTCGCTTAAGCTGACATTTTAAGCGACAAAAATCCGTATTTTAGAAAGCATCTTTCTGCAAAACAAGAACTGACTACAGTCGTGCAAGACTTCGTGGACAAGACTTAGCACCTGGTAAGAATTAATCTTTTAATTAGTGCCATACAAAGCTAGAGTGTTGCGTTTTTTCTCGGGAAAGTTATTTTATAAAAGCAATGGAAAACTCATTTCCTGTGTTTGCATAGCCTGATATAACAGGGGCACCCAACGAGGATATAGTTCAAAACCAGTAAACATAGCATTGTTGAACGTATTTTAGTATTCAAACGGTAGATATAGGCATATTGTTATCCCCTAAAAACTTTTCATCTGTTCGGATTTCCTAGCTGAAAATCTAGTGATCCGAAAATTATAGGGATAACAACTTACCTTCTCGAAAATTTCAGCCCGGAAAAGGCTCCCGAAAATTCTAGGTGGCCTTTTTTAGGGTCAAAATCCGTTAAAAATGAGTAATTATACCATTTTGTAGATGTTCGAAAATCCTAGGAGAGGCAGGCAAGCAAGAAATTTTACAACAAATGCTCCGAAAATTCTAGATCTCAAATCGTCTTCCGAACAGATATTTTCCCGAAAATTGCCGTTGGGTGCCCCTGATATAAACACTCGAGGCGTTGGGAGAATTCTCGACAGTTATACAAACCCTCGACTTCGTGTCGGGTTTGAATAACTGTCTCGAATTCTCCCAATCCCTCTCGTATTTAAATGGGGCTATGCAAACAGAAAACGTTTTCTGTCCCTTAAATATAGCTATACATAGACATACATAGCCATACATACGCCATTGTCTTGATTTTCAAAGCTGGCGCTTTTCGCTAATAGTGGGCTGTAACATATAGCCTAGAAGTAGCGCAAGCAATCAGAACGTAGCATTGATAATGTAGCATCAGGTCAGAGGTTATATTTAGCGCATGCCTACTGGAATAAAGTGTGTTCATTTGCATCCGCCGTCTTGAGTGTATGTTGTGTCTTCTCGGAGAACACATCATGGTGTCAGAAGTGGGATGGAGCAGCTGAAACCACCTGAAGCTCTGATATTCTACAGCGACGAATAAAGCCGAAGCATGGCGGCGTTGTAAAATGTCATGGGACCTGTACAAAGTTGCGAGCGGACTCGATCAAAAGGATGAGAAGATTCAAGTCGCTACGTTGCTCCACGTGCTTGGCAAGGAATGTGTGGAAATTTTTTCAATTTTTGTGTGGGATTCCGAGGATGATCGGGATAAAATTGAGGCCGTCGAGGGAAAGTTCAAAGCTCATTGTGCACCACTGACCTCGAGGCACTTCAATCGTTACTTGTCTATCGAACCGAAACAGCAAGACGGAGAGACAGTCGATGAATTCTGTAGCGCACTGAAAACACTAGCTAAGAACAGCGACCTCGGTGATAAAGAAGAATCTTGGATTACATCCATGTTAGTCCTGGGGCTTAAGGATCCGTCTTCCAAAGAAAGGTTGATGGAGAGAGAACAGAGTTTAGAGAAAACATTGCAAGCAGCTCGCATCGCCGAAACAAGCAAGCAGCACATGAAGAGCATAAAAGAAGAGGGTAGCAAAGTTGAGAAAGTGGATGTAGTAGACGGCAAAGGACAGAATCCTCAATGGGGAATGCCCTGTAGGAGTTGTGGTATTCGACATGCCCAAGATTCATGTCCTGCTGCTGGGCGACGCTTTCACAAGTGCCAGAAAATGACCCATTTTTCAAGGATGTGTCGTACCGCAGATGGACAAAAGAAACAGGTAAACACTCTTGATGATTGTGACTCTGACTCTGAAGTTATGTTCATTGGAGCAGTCAATGTAGGAGACAAAGACTGGTTTGAAACTGTCAATTTTGGAACTGTTTAAGAAGTCTTTAAACTAGATACTGGGGCCCAGTGCAATGTCTTGCCCAAAGCCGCATATGACAAAATTACAACAAACCCTTTGCAACCTTCCGCGGCAAGATTAGAAAGTTACTCCAAAACTTGTATTAGACCTGTTGGAAAGTGTGAGTTGCCTTGTTGGGTATGTGGGGAAAGGTATCAAGTATGTTTTCAAGTGGTTGATGGAAATTACATGCCCATCCTGGGTAGATCATCCTGTGAGAATATGGGCCTAATCCAGCGCATAAATGCTATTGAAAGTGTCAGTATTCTCAAGAAAGGTATGTCCAAATTGAAAAGGAACTTTTGGCAATTGGCAGTAGTATTTGGTTGTGCCAAATTTGCGGAGTACATCGTGGGTCGTGATGTCACCGTTGAATCAGATCATAAACCTTTGGAGGCAATTATGAAGAACCCCTTACACGTAGCACCCTTACGGCTGCAACGGATGTTGGTCCAACTCCAGCGCTTTCCAGGAATCAATGTGGTATACAAGCGTGGAGACAGCCTACATTTAGCGGATGATTTGTCTCGAGCCCATTTGGAAGAACAGCTGACGAATGCTGAGCAATTGGACATAAACTTAGTAGAGGATGTTATCTCTGACCATCAATTGGCCCGTTTCGCTGAGGGAACTAAGGAAGATGCCATTTTGTCTGATCTCCAACAAGTTATTTTGTCGGGTTGGCCAGATTCCAAAGGTCAAGTCCCACTCAATGCACTGGAGTTTTGGAATTACCGTGATGAATTAACAGTAGCCCAGGGACTGATCGTTAAGAGACAAAAGATTGTTGTACCAAGCAGCTTGAGAGGAGAGATGCTTGAGAAACTGCATGAGGGACACCTGGGTATCAAAAAGACAATAGCGAGAGCGCGGGACGTATTGTTCTGGCCCAGGATGAGTGTGGAGATAACCGAGAAGATTAAAAACTGTCCTGTATGTGCCTATGTATGGCTATGTATGGATATGTAGGGCTATGTAGGGCTATGTATGGCTATGTAGGGTTATGTAGGGCTATGTAGTGCCATGTAGGGCTATGTAGGGCTATGTATGGCTGTGTATGAGTATGTAGGGCTATGTATGGGTATGTAGGGCTATGTAGGGCTATGTAGGGCTGTGTATGGCTATGTATGGCTATGTATGGCTGTGTATGGCTATATATGGCTATGTATGGCTATGTATGGCTATGTAGGGCTGCGTATGACTATGTAGGGCTAGGTATGGCTATGTAGGGCTATGTATGGCTGTGTATGGCTATGTATGGCTGTGTATGGCTATGTATGGCTATGTAGGGCTATGTATGGCTACGTATGGCTGTGTATGGCTATGTATGGCTATGTATGGCTATGTAGGGCTATGTATGGCTGTGTATGCCTATGTAGGGCTACTTTTATTCTGGGTAGAAAGTATTTCGTAGAGCGCTCAATTCATTTAATTGAAGAGCATGTGGGGCTATGTAGGGCTATGTAGGGCTGTGTATAGCTATGTAGGGCTATGTAGGGCTGTGTATGGCTATGTAGGGCTTTGTGAGTGAGTGTGAGTGAGTGAAAACTTTATTTACCCACGGTAATTTTATCGAATAACTTTACATAAAGCATCTGTTCTGCCCAAAAGTTGTGCGCTATTTAACTTACATAAAGATATATATATCTAAAAAACTAAACTAAGAAAGATCGTACACAATGTTAAACCTAATGATAAAAAACTTAAATTATGAGGCTTGTGTAGATAGCAAATACGACCTGATCTTAGCCTTAAATTGTTTTAAAGAAGTCTCTTCCTTTAAACTGGACGGAAGAGAATTCCAGAGCTTAGCGCCTGCAGAAGCAAAACTATTCCTAAAATAGTTTGTTCTTGCTTTTGGCACTATCAAATTCATTCCAGAAGAGCGAAGGTCATCACTGAGCCGGCTTGTATTAACGTCAAACATGTCAGACAAATAAGAGGGACAGAGGCCATAATTTACTTTAAACATCATTAATGTCATATGATGTAGTCTCATTTCACTAAGTGAGAGCCACCCAAGTTCATGCCGAATATCAGCTGAATGTTTCAAGTATGAAGCACCTGTAATAACACGAGCGGCCCTATTTTGCAACTTTTGATGACTGTCTACCAACGTTTCGCTAATACTATCCCAAACAAGATAACAATAGGTAAAATAAAACTCAACTATTGAC